GGGCACCAGATCCTCACTGCCCTCCAGGAGCTCGCGCTCTTGCAGGGAGGCGCGGGAGAAAGGCGCCGCAGGAGGTGGGGCCCCGAGCACCGGAGAGGGGGCAGTTCAGGGGAGCAGACAGCAGTGGTTTCTGGGAAGAGTCTTCCTTGAACCACTGGGCAAAACAAGTTACATTTATTTTACCCTAGCTATTGGTTTAATAATCAGTAAACATACGGAAGAGTTTAAAGAACAATGCAATGTGTACTTGTTTACCCATCACCGAGATTTGGCAGTTCCTAAGGTCTTGAAATGTTTGTGCGTTCTCCCTCTCTCTCCCTTTCTCTCTCCCTTTCTCTCTCCCTCTCTCTCTCCCTCTCTCTCTCCCTCTCTCTCTTCCTCTCCCTCATCCTCTCCCTCACCCCGTCCCTCCCTGACTCTCCCTTTCCCTCTCTCTCCCTCTCCCCCATCTCTTCCTCTCCCCCGCCCCCAAATGCATGTACACACTTACCCCAGAATCATTTAGAAATGATTTGCAGACACTGGGACACCTTACTCCTTAGAAAAAGAAACAGGTATTCTGTACAACCATCTTAGTACCATTATACCTACAGGAACAATAATTCAGTATCACCTAATATGTAGTCCATGTTAAAATCACAACATTTGTCCCAGAGTGTTTTTTATAGCTTTGTATAATGATTATTTTTCAAGATCCAATCAAGTCTCACTAATTGCATTTAGTTAATTTCTTCTAATCTAGAACAGTTTTTTCTAATCTAGACCCACTGTTTTAATTTTTTGAGTGTTCAGGCAGTTGTCTTGTAAAATGTCCTCAGTTTTGGATTTTTTCCCCCCTAATGAATAATAGATTCAGGTTAAGCTCTTTGGGCACCAATGTCTCATGGGTGCATCTATGTGCTCCCTTCTGTAGCGTATCTGAAGGCACATGGTGGGTAGTACCACAGCAGGAGGCACTACGCTGGCCCCTTGGTCCATTTGTTAAGGGGTAACTACTAATATATATATGTGTANACGCTGGCCCCTTGGTCCATTTGTTAAGGGGTAACTACTAATATATATATATGTGTATGNCTTGGTCCATTTGTTAAGGGGTAACTACTAATATATATATGTGTATGTGTGTGTGTGTGTATATATCTATGTATATATATGTGCATATATATGTATGTATGCATGTGTGTGTGTGTATATATATGTGTGTGTGTATATGTGTGTGTGTGTGTGTATATATAGCAAATGTACATGTTCCTCTTTTAATAACTAAGTATTCTGTGGAGTGACACGTTCAGACCATGTTAATGCCCTGGTCCCCAAGAGCTTTAAGTCAGTATTTTTAGTATATAGCAAATGATCCTTTCCTGACTCAGTGATTACATGGGGAGTTGCAAAATGATGTTTTCTAATTCTACCATTCCTTCTAAATTTATTTAGCTGACATTCTTCTGTAAAGAAGAACTTTTCCTTTTTCACACTTTTAACAACTTGGTTTTAAAGTTTAAGGTTCCACCTTCTATGGAACTCTTAATTATCTGTGTGTGTGTGTGTGTGTGTGTGTGTGTGTGAGAGAGAGAGACAGACAGACAGACAGACAGAGACAGAGAGAATGAGAACTGAAGACCGAGCCTGAGTCACGCCCGCTGCCTGAGGCCAACCATCACTAGTTCAGTTGAGAGGGGCCTTCTAGTGTGCTCCCTGCTCACTCCTCCCCTTGCCATCTCTCCAGTGCTACCAGCATCTGTCACCTCAGGGCCTTTGCACTGCCATGTGGCCAGAACCCCCTTCCCCAAAGAGCTGCCTGGCTCACCTTATTCTGTCCTCTCACCTCTCTCAGAGGTCATCTTACTAGATGATTTCCTGAGCACCCATGTAACCTACCGCTCCCACTGCATCATTCTCCGTCTCTTGCTCTCCTTTGTGATTGCCCGCAGCCCTCACCACCACCAGCCACATTAAATTTCACGAGAACAGGGCCTTGGTCCTATTGTTGGTTCATAGCCTTAGAACAGGGCCTGGCCCATAGTAGGTGCTTGATAAATAAAGAAGGAACACACACCCATATATACACATGCTTGGTAAAACTCTGAATGGAACCAAAGTCTTTCTCTTCGTGGCTCCTTCCAGATGACCATGGAGACACTCGGGCCCTGGGCAGAGACGGCAGCTGTTCTTCCATCCAGCAGGGATAATTTGTGCAGCCAGCAGCCACTCATTTGTGCCCAATTATTAAAGACAGCAGAGCTGGGAGAGTACCCACCCCCCTTGTTTGACATGATTTTAGGGGAATAAAAACAAATCAGAATTCATCAACTGTGAACACAATTGTCAACTGTGAACTGTCAACAGTCTGGTTTAAAAATAGATGATAGGTTGATGAAAAACGGTAGAGAAAGCAATTTAAATAAAATGTTAAAAATAATACCCAAAGTGCGCAAGGCAAAGCGAAGAGTGGGGAGCAGTGGGGAGCTGCGCTCGGTGGAGGCCTGTGTGAACCAGATGGAGGTGACAAGCTCACTTTACGAATCACAGGAGAGGAGGGTTTGCTGGCCCCGCGCAGGCGGCCGCTCACTCATCCTGCCGCGTCGCTGTGCTGCGCGAAAGAGCGGCTGGGAAATCTGCTGGCACATTTATTTTGAAGTAGGTCAACATTTTGAATATTTCAGCCCATTTATGAAACCTCTGGCTCTCTGTCTCCGTGATGGCTGGGGAAAGGCCTTTCTCCTGCAGCAGCCAAGGGGTCTAGGAGTTTCAGGGGTTCGTATTTGTATTTATATTTGCATTTGTATGAAATGGGTTGCAGTACAATACTTAAGAGACTTAACTGATTTCCTATTTTCTCAACTCTCTCTTTTTAGTAGTTTTGCCTAATTATTTATTTAACTTCTTTATCATAAAATCAATATAAAAAGCTTGAATTTTTCATGCTTCCTCTGTTCTGGGCGTGAGTCACAGCCGATAGAACTTGGCCAAGTTCTTTATGTCCAGCTGTTCTGTGTCCTGCGGCTGCCCATCCTGCTGTTTCCTTTCTTTCCCGGAGAACCGAGCCTCCTTGGCACGAAGACCTGTGCTCTGAAAACCTAAGGAATACCAGGCGTTCCCATTCCTTAGAGACCATCTCTTTGTAAAAATATGGATGGAAGTTGAATTAGCTCACTAGGACTGCTGTAACAAAGTACCACAAACGGGGTTTTAATCAGGAATATGTTGTCTCCTAGTCCGGAGGTAGAAGCCTGGATCCTAGGTGTGGGCAGGCTGGTTCCCTCTGAGGCCATGAGGGAGGGTCTGTCTCAGGCCCCTCTCCTGGCTTCTGGTAGCCTCAGGCATGGCCTAAAAACTCCCTGTGTCTTTATACCCTCGTCTTCCCTCTGCACGTGCCTGTCTCTGCATCCAAGTGTCCCCTTCTCATGAGCACACTGTACTGGATTAGGACCCTATTTCTAAATCCACACTCTGAAATATGGAGGGGTAGGACTTGAAAATATCTTTCGTGAGACACACAATTTAAGCCATAAGGCAAGGTGCAAAGCTTTCCCCTCCGGAGGGAGAGCCGAGGCCAGGACAGGAGTGATTCCTCTCTGCTCAGACCCGCTTCTGGTGGCCAGAGGGCCCTCCCCACAGGCAGCAGTGACCATGGGATGGGACTCCATTCATTGCCCTGTGTCTCTGCCCCTTCCCATGGAGCCTTTAGCCTCGCTACTTGTGAGCTTTGTGTAATTGGCTGGCTCTTCATTCCAAATGCAAAAAAATACATTTATACCTGTTTCCTCCTCTTTTTTTTTTTTTAACACCCCCCAAAGTTTTTTTTCCTGAAGTGAGGACTTATGGGCGTCCCTCATCAGTTCCTAAGAATGTCATTTTGGAGTTTGTTTTTTGCTTTTCCACTGCCAGGCTGCAGTCTCTGAGAGGTGGGCTTGCAGTCCACAGTGTTTAGCCTGGAGCTCTGCAAACACTGCCCTGTGCAGGTCAGCACACGGGCCTCTGCCCGCTGTGGCCTCGCACCTCAGGGCACATGGAGCAAGCAGACAAGTGCTGCCTGAGCAAGTCCTGCTGCAAAGAAATCGCCACCTGCAAAGAAATCGCCACCTGCAATCCTGCCATTTCACACCTGCTCTGCGCATGCAGCAGAGAGGCTGTGGGTGGGGATTCTGAGCCCTTGTCACTTGGTCCTGAAGTGGGGAGGGAGCCAGTGACGGCCCTGTGCTGCTGGGGGACACTTATTTCTCCCTCCTCACATCTCTGTAGTCATGTTGTCATAATGGGATGGCTGTTCATCCTTGTGGCCTTTTGCACCTGTGAGTGACATCCGTCTTTGCCACTGAGTGAGGACTGGCAAGTGCATAGATGGCTTTGGGGCTTTGACTGTGAATCTGAGAATCAGGTAGATGCTTCTGCCAGTCACAGGCTGGTAAGACAACCACAGGCATCCTCCTGGGAAGGACTGTGTCAACTTGGGCTTGGATGGTTGAAACAAAAGCATTGACTCCTCTTGTTCCTGAAGGGAAGCACTGGGCCTCACACATACTGTCCAAACTAGATAGTTGCTAAATAGTTAACTAAATAGATACTCTTTTCCCCAAGAAGAACGTGGGTGCAGCTGAGCAGGACCAGGAATGCTCCAAGGTGGAGCCTCCCCACCTGGGACAAGGAAATGTGGAGAAGCAGCCTCTGCTGGGGGGAGGAGGGCTTTGTGGAGCCTATGGGATTCCAGGGTGTTGTTTCAGATACTCTCATTAACAGTCACGGTTGAGCTTACCAACTTATTAAAGCAAGCCTTCCAGTGCTGCAGCAGCATTTTTAGGTGTTACACTGCGTTTGGAAAAACATTTCTCATTGAGTGTGCTGTAATTCAGATCTTTAACTGAGACAGACTCCATTCTCCGTCTGTGCTCCCGTGCACCTCCTCTTACTGTGGGTCGGGAGGCACGGGCTGTGCCCTGAGGAAGCCAAGCGGGCGTTTGCCTGGCCGCGTCCCTAAGGCCTGTTCTGTGTCTCCTTTGCAGTGCAAGATGGAGTTCCACGCTTGCTCTACCGGCAAGAGCCTCACCACCCTCTGCGATGGGCCCTGCCCATGTCTCCCAGAGCCCGAGCCACCAAAATACAAGGCCGAAAAGAATGGTGAGTGGGGGTCGCAGGGGAATCCCTGAAAGGGTCGGGGAGGTTGGGCATGGCCAACTTTGCCCAGATGCCAGCAACGTGGCATTTATCAGAGCTGTTCCAGCCCTGGCAGGGGAGAGGGGCTACTTGGAGAGTCCTACAGCTTATTCAGGGACTCTCACCTGAATGAACTGCCTTCAGCCACCATTGAAGGAAGAAGAAGGGCTGAGAGTCTTTGAAGTTAATTCTGCTGGCCCACGATAGGCACGAGGTTCTTCAAGAGGTCAGACTGGCCCTGGTGTAGGAAGGGCAGGTGCCTCGGCGTCTAAGACCAGGACCTGCCCTGGGGTACATCTTGGTCTAATCTCTAAATCCTTTGAAATTCTCAAGGCCAAATTTCAAAACAGAGACTGCAGAGATGCCATAGGGTGGAGAGTATCTCCCCCCAGAGCGTTTCTCTATTAATGTATTGTGCTTGGAGAAGGCGTGGAGCCGGGGGACACATGAAAGGAGCTACCTCCCCAGGGGCAGCTGTGGCCCTTCCATGGCCGAGAGGGTCAGGCAGGTTGGCTTATTTGGATATTTTCATGGTGGAGAAACTAAAGTCATCCCACTGGTCTCAGCTCCTTTTTGAGGCTTCCTTAATGAGACCCAGAATAGAAGGTTGCCCTCTGGGGATCTGGGCTTTCTCAGTTGTGGCTGGCTAGTCCATGTGTGTGTGTGTGTTCTGTGTGTGCATGTGTCCCTGTGTGTGTGTGCGCACACACCCACGTGCATGTCTTCTGGTGTCTTCTCTTTGTAAAGACGATGAACAGGGTGTGCACGTTTATCCATCTGCCTCTTTTTAGGTCGTATTGTCTTTTCCAGGGCACATGGGTGAGTTCAAGTCTCCATTTGTTCATGGTGGCGACTGTAGAAATATTGCATTCAGGGCTCTTTGGGAGGTTTCGCTCAGAACGTGGAGGGACATTGTGAACCGTAAAGCACTGTGGTCACAAGTAATCTCCGTAGATTGCTCCTGATTACCAAGAAGCTGGTCTCACTGCATTGTGGCCTGATCCATTTATACAACTGCAGTGAGAAACGCTAATGAACGTATATCACCCTCCCTGTAGTGTGGACAGAGAGCCTTAGCCCTGTGGTGTTAAGCAACTGGAGCTCAGGCAATTAGCTTCTGTGGGGAGATTCACTAAGCATCATTTTAGGAAGACTCAGTAGCCTCTGCTATTTTAGGTATATTGTTTATTGCTTTTATTGACCCTTCCCTCTGAGGCATGGAAACCAAAGCAAGAATCGCATCCCCACCCTCTTGCCTGCAGTTTGTGTAATGGGGTGAAGGCCTCTCCTCACAGGTGTCCTGCTCTGCTGCGTTCCTGACTTGCCACGAGGGGGTAGCAGGCCAGTTTCCTGGGATGGCTCTGTGGTTTTCCCAATGAAGCATAGCCCTTATTCTCAGTGGTGGGCTTGTCATACCGGATTAAATGAGATTCACTCTCAAGCGTGACACTCTAGGCCTGGCCTCGACTGCACATCTACTTGTTCAATCATATACCGGTAAAAATGGGAACAGACTTTTATTGAGCCTGTGCAAGTAACTACGTTGCCATCAAAAGGGAAGAGACTCAGAGACCAGCGCTGCTCCCGAATTCTGAGAGCTCAGGGGCAACAAGAAGACCATGCAAATGAGTTTCATTTCCAAATGTCTGTAAAGCATAGTTAATATCGCCAAGTTAATAGTGAGAGCTAGACCAGGAAGGAGGAAGGACTTCCTCGCACACCTATCAGAAATGAGAACAATAACAATGCTGGTTCAAAACAGATCATCAAAAGTACTTTTCCCTCATCGGTCCTTCAGTCCTATGTAGTTATTTTTTGTTCCACTGGCTCTTGGGTCACCAGTTTGCTTTTCTGAAGTCTTCTGCCCCTGGAAAGAGCCCTGCAATCCACTCAGTCTCTACCACCATCCGGCATGTGCCTGAGAAATACCACCTTGGAAGCCTAACAGTGCGTCTGTTACATGACGTATCTGTCGACCACCCTTGGCACAGCTCTTTCCGTGAGGCTCCGAGGCTGTCCTCCTCGGTTAAACACCCAGTTTCTGGGCTGTGACTTACATGAGGAGGGAAGCAGAGACTACCCGTTGGTGATAAGACTGAATGGCTGAAGTTAATTTATCACATATCCAACAGTATCCTAATGAAGGAGGGTATAATCCCCTATCGGGGTGTAATGCTTAACTTTTAAATGTGGATTTGATAGGTGGTTCCCTGGAGAAGAGGAAAATATTGTGGGCAGTGAGGGCATCGATAAATCCCTGGGGTCATTATGTGAAATGATTAAATTAATAACATTTTACCTGGACAACATCCATCAAGGGAAGGCTGACCTTCTTTGATTTGACAGCTCTTTCTGTGCAGCCCTTGCAGTAGTTTGTGACCTGCAGTGAATACCAAGCTGAAGCTGCAGCACTTGGGGGAGAGGTCAGAGGTGAAATGAAAGGCAGCTTCCTTTTGGCAACTTCACTGTGGGGGTGGGGGGTAGGGGGAGGG